ACAAGGAAATCGAAAAAGTGAGAATGTGGCATGCGTAGTTTATGCTGGGCAATGGCAGCAGAATTCGAAAAAAAAAAATAAAACATTTTCAAAACAAAGCAGTGCGTTCGATAGAACACTGCAATAATATGTTTACCTTGTGGTCAAAGGGGGATAATTCAATAACTGATATAAGATTCAGACCACTAATACATTCTATGTAAATGAAAATTAAAACCAAATAGACACCATAAGCCACATTGCCTGTATAGAGGGGATGTTGTTTTAACAAATACCAGTAAAAATAGAAAATAGAACAAACTTTCTTTCCGTAGTTTTATTAGTTTTTATTATAACTCATCTACTCCACTTAGAGTCTAAAAATTTCCTTTTTATTTCCCCGTGTGACTAACCTTTCTTCTTACCTACTGAATTCTACCAATCTCGTCTAGTCTAAACAGCCATACCACTCTCATCGATAATCTTACTGGACTTTATATACATGTATTGTTCAGTCTTCTCATTTACACTTGATATATCCTTTATGTAAGGGATAGAGTACGAAGACTGTATAATAAGCCAGAAAACAGATCATTCTACACTTGGATGTTTTTACATTTGAAATAAACTTTTCAGTTTCATATTCGTATAGTAATCATAGTGTAAGGTAGGTAATAAGAGAGAGCAAACAACTTACAGATATAACCTATGCATGATAATGATTTAATTGTTGTCTGTAGTATTGAAAAACATAGTAACGTAGTTAAGATTGTTATGAGTGTATTTTATTCTCTTTTCAGAATATCATTTTCTACATTATTGTAAGTAGTAAGCGAGTGATTATAGGTACCAGACGCTGATTGGCTGAGACGTACCACGTGACTAAATATGACGTAGTAGTAGGGGCATGTCTTCATGGACTTTAGTTGCTAGGCAACGGATGACGTCACTTCCGGTTGGTTATGCGCATGCGCGACCGTTGCTAGGGAGATGACGTCATTGCGAAAACCCCGGGGAAATCCTTGATAACGTCACTTTGTCGTCACTTTGGAGTAGTAAGTGATTATAGGTACCAGACGCTGATTGGCTGAGACGTATCACGTGACTAAATGTGACATAGTAGTATAGGCGACTTTCTTAGAATAGCCTTCGACGAACTCGGTGACGCCTTTAAGTAAGCGAGTGATTATAGGTACCAGACGCTGATTGGCTGAGACGTATCACGTGACTAAATATGACGTAGTAGTAGGGGCATGTCTTTAGTTGCTAGGCAACAGATGACGTCACATCCGATTTGTTATGCGCATGCGCGACCGTTGCTAGGGAGATGACGTAATTGGGAAAACCCCGGGGAAATCCTATGCATGATAATGATTTAATTGTTGTCTGTAGTATTGAAAAACATAGTAACGTACCTTTAGTTAAGATTCTTATGAGTATATTTTATTCTCTTTTCTACATTATAAGTAGTTATGCGCATGCGCGACCGTTGCTAGGGAGATGTCGTAATTGGGAAAACCCCGAGGAAAACCTATGCATGATAATGATTTAATTGTTGTCTGTAGTATTGAAAAACATAGTAACGTACATTTAGTTAAGATTCTTATGAGTATATTTTATTCTCTTTTCTACATTATAAGTAGTAAGCGAGTGATTATAGGTACCAGACGCCGATTGGCTAAGACGTATCACGTGACTAAATGTGACGTCATAATGTGGAAGTTGTCTGCTACTAACGGTCGCGTTCTAGAATGTTCGCGATCTATTCTTATTCATGTGACCTGTGAAACGGATAAAAGATTTAATTTTCTGGAAAAAGATTCATTCTGCGTGAGGAAACAGAGAACAGTGGAACAGCTTTATTCGTTAACTATTGATAGGAGATCACGAAGTAGACTTTTTAGTCTTTCCGTAGTTTTATAAGTTTTTATTATAACTCATCTACTCCATTTAGAGTCTAAAAATTTCCTTTTTATTTCCCCGTGTGAATAACCTTTCACTTGGATGATTTTTCATTTGAAATAAACTTTTCAGTTTCATGTTCGTATTGTAATCATAGTGTCAGGTAGGTAATAAAAGAAAGCAAACAACTTACAGATATAACCTCTGCATGATAATGATTTAATTGTTGTCTGTAGTATTGAAAAACATAGTAACGTACCTTTAGTTAAGATTCTTATGAGTGTATTTTATTCTCTTTTCAGAAAATCATTTTCTACATTATTGTAAGTAGTAAGCGAGTGATTATAGGTACCAGACGCTGATTGGCTGAGACGTACCACGTGACTAAATATGACGTAGTAGTAGGGGCATGTCTTCAGGGACTTTAGTTGCTAGGGAGATGACGTCATTGGGAAAACCCCCAGGAAATCCTGACGTCATTTTGTNCGTCATTTTGGGAAAGTAGTATAAGCGAGTGATTATGGGTACCAGACGCTGATTACGGGTAAATACTTTAATAGGCCTGTCATCCACTTCCAAGATTTGGACAACAATGATAGGTTCGGTTGCCATGTTGCAAATGACTGGCCAAAGACAAGTGACTGCGCTTTTTATAGGCGGGAAACTGGAAAAGATCACGTGGTATTTATTTTTTAAACTTTAATTAATTCAACTTAAATCCATTAATTCTAACATATTGTCATTCATAAATCCTAAACATGTTTCGCCATCTTCAAAAGACAAATAAGGAAAATGGTGATGGGCCCAAGCATGGACTAAACGATCGTTTTCGGTCAGATTAGATTGGAACACCGATAAAGCATGGGGTGACGGTTCGTGGAATTTATGACACAAGTAAAAGAAACAATAAAGCCCGCAGACAGAACTTTGATTTCCTTGAATCCTCCGGATATTGTGACGTAAGGGTCCTTGACGCCGCGCAAAGTCGGCAAAATCTTGGCCATACACTTCTGGGGAACATCCAAACGAGTCGAAGAAATCACAATGGTCTTTTTCGCATACAAAAACTGTCCAATGTTTTCCAGGCTGGCCTGCGTCGTCGGTAATCACAACGTACGCTGAGGGATAGCGTGTTGGCTGTAAGGTTTGTAATTGATTTCTGGCTAACACGCCTGCAAATTGTTCAGGGATGTGGCAAGCCAATCCTTCCTCCAACTGTAGTAGTAAGCGAGTGATTATAGGTACCAGACGCTGATTGGCCGAGACGTACCACGTGACTAAATATGACGTAGTAGTAGGGGCATGTCTTCAGGGACTTTAGTTGCTAGGGAGATGACGTCATTGGGAAATCCCCAGGAAATCCTTGATGATGTCACTTTGTCGTCATTTTGGGAAAGTAGTAGTAAGCGAGTGATTATAGGTACCAGACGCTGATTGGCTGAGACTTACTAAATATGACGTAGTAGTAGGGGCATGTCTTCAGGGACTTTAGTTGCTAGGGAGATGACGTCATTGGGAAAACCCCAGGAAGTCCTTGATGACGTCACTTTGTCGTCATTTTGGGAAAGTAGTAGTAAGCGAGTGATTATAGGTACCAGACGCTGATTGGCTGAGACGTACCACGTGACTAAATATGACGTAGTAGTAGGGGCATGTCTACAGGGACTTTAGTTGCTAGGGAGATGACGTCATTGGGAAAACCCCAGGAAATCCTTGATGACGTCACTTTGTCGTCATTTTGGGAAAGTAGTAGTAAGCGAGTGATTATAGGTACCAGACGCTGATTACGGGTAAATACTTTAATAGGCCTGTCATCCACTTCCAAGATTTGGACAACAATGATAGGTTCGGTTGCCATGTTGCAAATGACTGGCCAAAGACAAGTGACTGCGCTTTTTATAGGCGGGAAAAGGAAAAGATCACGTGGTATTTATTTTCTAAACTTTAATTAATTCAACTTAAATCCATTAACTCTAACATATTGTCTAAACATGTTTCGCCATCTTCAAAAGACAAACAAGGAAAATGGTGATGGGCCCAAGCATGGACTAAACGATCGTTTTCGGTCAGATTAGATTGGAACACCGATAAAGCATGGGGTGACGGTTCGTGGAATTTATGACACAAGTAAAAGAAACAATAATGCCCGCAGACAGCACTTTGATTTCC